GCCACTGCACTCCAGCCTGGAGGACAGATCGAGACTCCATCTCAAAAAAAAAAAAAAAAAAAAAAGGAGATTGTTCATTGTTCATCACCCTTACCTTGAACTGGAAGTTGATATTCTCTTTTATGCAACATGGCTTCTATGATAAACCTTTGATTTAGAACCTTTTTTTCTTGCTCTGTTGCCCAGGCTGGACTGCAGTGGCACAATCATGGCTCGCTGCAGCCTTCAACTCCTGGGTTCATGCGATCCTCTTGCCATAGCCTCTTGAGTAGCTGGGACTATGCACACACACCACCATGCCCAACTATTTTAGAGAGAGTCTTTTCATGTTACCTGGTGTGGTCTTGAACTCCTGGCCTCAAGCAATCCTCCCACCTTGGTCTCCCAAAGTGGATTACAGGTGTCAGCGAACACTCCTGGCCCACAATTCCTAACACTGCTAAGAGCTAACCATTTCTACAGCATACTCACTTTTTGAAACATTCCTCTGGTAAGGAAACCAGGTCGGAAAGTCCAACTAAGTTCTGTGACTCACTCAGGATCACATATTGAGTCAGTACTGGAGGGGATTCCAGCTGAGTAACCCTTCTTCTGAGGTGTCTAAGTTAAATGGAAGTTTCAGCCACAGAGCTGACCCACTATGCTTTCTCATCCCTGAATTCCTCAAAGTCTCAGAAGTCTTTGTTCTAATCTTAATGGGAATTTGCTCATATCTTCAGCTTGACAAATCAAAATAAGATCTGGAATAGTACTCATGCTACTCAATTGATTCCTCTTGAAAACAGCCCTATGTGAAGTAACATCAGGGATCATTATCCCCTTTACAAAAGGGAATCCGACTTAGAAAGGTGAAGCATCACTCAAGGTTTAAAAACAAAACCACTACAGTAGAAGAGCGAGGAGGCTTTGAATGGTATATTCTATTGGGCAATTTGAGACCTGGAAATCTATGTGTATAAATATATGTATAGCAATCAGTATTAATCAATAATCAACTCCCTTGCCCCTAAATCTCCCCTTATAAATCTAGCCTTTGGGCTAATCTATCTCTCGGTTTAGCACCAAATTGTTCTCTCTTTAACCCAAGGCCTGTCTCCATTTAGAAGGCAAATTCAAAAACAGGCTAAATCAAACAAGGCCATCATAAAGATCCTCAGGGCAAGAAGGCTCAAAAATACAAAGGGAAAGCCAATACCAGGAATGCTATAAACATTTTATTTATTTATTTTTTAAGAAAGTAACTTCAGAAAAAGAGGAAAATATCTAGATCATTTATTTATACATATATATATTTTTTAATAAAAACCTTTACATAATCTTCATGCATAAAGACCCAGGTGTGGCCATATTGCCTGAGACAGCCCTAACACCAGCTATCTCATGCCATTACCTGGGGCTCCCTATAGCTGTCAGCAGTGTAGCAAAGGCCCTCTGCCTGCCCCTAACGCCCAACTCCATGCCTGCCTCAGTCATGGTTTGCTTCTGGAAGGGATGATGGAGGGTGGAAAATGCTTTAGAGCTAACATGGGATGAACAGGGAGGGTTACCCAACCTGCCATTTTTTATCCAAACTCTTCAGGCAAATCCAGACAGACTCTCAGCAAGATGACTGAAAACCAGGGACCAAACCAAATTCTGGGAGCTTCCCATAGACATGTCACATATGACCAAGGGCTCCTGCACATAGTAGTAGCAAAGGTATGGTGTTCATGGAACACTAAAGGCAGGAACAAAAGAAGCTCTGAAGATCAATCCCTCCATGGCAGGCATTCACTTCTGCCCTAAGTGTGTCAGAAAGATCCCATTCTGTTTCCTAACTCAGGCCAACCCTCCTCTGCCTCCAAAATTCAGTGTTAACTAACCAATTACTTAAGAGACGGATCCCTCTTCCTTCTGTGGATAGTTCACCTGTTAAGGATCCATTACCACCTGTCTCACTCCTCCTAAGGAGTCCTAGTATAAAAGGGCCAGGGTAGGAGTAGGGTAGCTGGTTGGCATGGAGGGTCACAAGATCCAGAATGGCTAGGGGTGAAAAAGGATTCCCTGGTTCTTTGGGGGATTCTGCCAAAGGAGCTTTATTGACCATTTATTAAAAGGAAAAACACTGGTCTTGAGGATGGTAAAAAGAGAATTGTCTCCTCTTCTGGGTTCCAGAAGCCCTTATGCTATGTTTAGTATTAAGAAAAGCCCTGAACAACTGGAGGATGCTGCTTGTGGCAGCAGGGAAGGAGGGTAGATGCCATAGCCAACCCAGAGAATGGCAAACAGTGCCAATCCAAACAAGGCAGGGAACCTCTGTGTGGTGAGTGTGAATGGGCATGTGAGTGTGATGCAGAGTCTGGGGCTCACAGGCTCCCAACAGCGAGTTCTCGCAGATAGGACTGGGTAAGGCTGCGCAGTTCGTCCATGGCATAGTCCTCAGGCATGGGGAGCCGGCCAATGTGGGGAGCCAAGAGGCGCAAAGGGACTCGCTGAGGGTCTGGTGTTGAGTCGGAGGTTCTATCAGGAGCGTGATGCAGACTCAGCACCACCCGCAGCAGGTTGGCTACACGTTTGGCCATGTCTAGAGAGAAAAACTAGAGTTAAGCACTGAGCATGGGTCTAGAGAACGGTGGCAGGCACTGAGGGTGGGGTGTAAGATAAAAACAGGAAGCAAGAAGGCAGAAAAAGTGAGGAGATTAGAGGCTTACCTGACTGAGCTAGGCGATCTTTAGCATTGTAACACTGAATCTGCTCTATGCGACTGCACAGTGAAGTCACTTTGATGTGTAACTGCTCCAGGTCATAACCTGAGCAATCCACCTACAAAGAAGCAGAGAAGTCAATTAATCCAAGGGGAGTTCCTATCACTCAATACCACCTATAGACTCTATACAAAACCTCGAAACAACAGTGAGGTGAGGGAGGGGAAAATCCAAGAAGATGACACAGGGTCAAGCCACCACCATCTAGTGGAGGACGAGGCACTAATTATGCAGTAATAGACAAGAGGAAGGTAACATAGTGTACACAGCCTTGGACTAGGAAAGTCTTGAGATCCCGAACGATACAGCAAGCTTTAATAATACAGCACCAAAAATCAAGATAAACTGGGTTCAGAGAGATGGTATGACTTCTTAAGAGCACACAGGAAGTAAAAAATGCAGCCTGAACCAACATTTAATTTAGGTCCCCTGACTCCAAGTTTATAGCCTTTTCTAAAACACCAAAAAAGCTGGGTGTAGGCGGCAGGAGGATCAAGAGCAAGACAAATTATTTGCTCTCATGGAACTGACAGAAACTAAATAAGAAAACATGAAACAGTAATACATCCTGAAAAATCACAAGCCATGTAGATAATTTAAACAGGTGGATGTTGCAGAGAGAAACTGGATAGCTACTTGAGACTGGAGGACCAAGAGAGGCTTCTTCAAGGAGGTCATATTTAAGTCGAGACCTGAATTACAAGGAGAGAGCTCAGCTTTCCAGGCAAAGAGAAGACAGCTAAAACTCCCAAAGGTGAGAATTCAAAGGAGATTTACATGGTGACATGTGGGGTAAGGGGGAAAAGCAGAACAAGCCAATACTAGAGAGGTTTTATGTAACACAGGCTTTTTTTTTTTTTTTTTTTTAAGGGGGGTCTCGCTATGTTGCTCAGGCTGGTCTCAAGCAACCCTCCTGCCTCAGCCTCCCAAAGTGCTAGGATTACAGTCACGCACCACCACATCCAGCTATGTGCTGGCACATTGATAGTTCTCTTTGCTTAACCCCTATACTTATGAAGCTACAGTAACTGCTGCTTTACTTGTATATATCTCCCCCACGAAATCATTATTTTGGTAAGGGCAGAACACATACTGTTTACTTTTATATTCCCCAAACCCACTACAGTGCTTGGCACACAGTGATTTCTCCATAATAGTTGTGTGAATTACTCAATATTCAATGAGAAAGTGGTTTCTTCAAGTGATTATTTAGAAATGATGCTCTTGATTCATATGAAAAGTACAGCAAACATTGAATTATGCCTATTATGTGTCAGGCGCTGTACTAGGAGTTGGAACTTTGATGAGGATAATAACAGGTAACAATTATTAAGCATTTAGTAGAGGCTAAGGTCAGGAGTTTGAGACCAGACTGGCCAACATGGTGAAACCCTGTCTCTACTAAAAAAAAAAAAAAAAGGCTGGGCATGGTGGCACACGCCTGTAGCCTGTAATCCCAGCTACTGGGGAGGCTGAGGCAGAATTGTTTGAAGCTGGGAGACGGACGATGCAGTGAGCTGAGATTGTGCCACTGCCCTCCAGCCTGGGTGACAGAGCAAAACTCTGCCTCAAAAAAAAGAAAAAAAAAAAA